AGCAGGCCAAGCAGCATCAGAGGAGCAGGAAGGCTGACGTTTCGGGCTTAGACCCATCTTCAGAAAGGGTCTTTCTGAAGAAGGGTCTAGGCCTGAAATATCAGCCTTCCTGCTCCTCTGATGCTGCTTGGCCTGCTGTGTTCATCCAGCTCTATACCTTGTTATCTCAGCATCTATCTCTGGGTGTCTAGGGTGCAATCCTTGTGCAGTATGGGTCTCTAGAGATGTGCTACTGAAAAATCCTGAAGTTGAATTCTTATAAGATTTTTTGCCTTGTAAACTTTCTGATGTGACCTTATTGATGATCCTTTCGATCTGTTCATCCACAACATTGATTATACTTCTGGAGTCATCCCAGCTGTAGCTTCCCTCTTCCTTGTTACTGCAACAACTTTCTTGCAATTAAGCCCCTCACCTCAGGACATTCCTTATTCAGACATTCTTAATTGCCCTTTTGTCACAGGGCAGTAAGTTAGGAGGCAGTTGTTATCTTCTCCCAGGAAACAGCTTATTTATGTTTGTGCGTGTTTATAACAGTTTCTCCTTGTCCCTTTCATCATTTATTTTAATAAGAGTTGTGGCTAATTCTTTCAATCTCTGAATAGTTATTCAAGTTTTGAAGTCTACATTATAGAAGAAAACCAAGCCATCTGAAGGAAGCTCCCAAGCTGGGGCAGGGCATGTCTGTGCTTTAAAAACAAGGATGTAAATGTTAAGAGACTTTTTTGAATGGGGTGACAGTGTAAGTCAGTGAGCACAGGGCTGATAGGTGAATGGACTTGGTGAAAGTTAGGACATGGGCAGTAAGCTTCAAGATTACAGGGATAGGAATATAGGAGGCTGGCTGCATTGAAATAATCAAAGAAAAAGCATTGAGTGCAGGTGAGGAAACAGTTCCTTGGTATCATCCAAGTCAATAGGGGTCTGATTTTTCTTTTGTTTTGTTTGTTCCCCCAGCTGAGAAATGCAAGATTTATGATAATGATGACACTTGGGATCTACAGTATCACTATTGCCAGACACTTAAAGGTAAGGATTGCATGAAACATTTGTGTCCATGAGTGTGATTTTCTCCACAGATGCTTCCAGAGTTGTTGAGTCATTCCAGAACTTTCTGTTTTGATTATAGTATAATGTGGTGCACATGAACTGGCTATGTTTAAGGAGAGCACACTTTGCAACATGTTAGCGTGGCCAGACTGCTTTTTCTGAGTTCACTATAGGATACTCATGATGGCCTTATATTCTATCACTCAATGGAATATTTGAGAATTATTGAGTGTTGATCCTTAGTTATTTTATCTTACTGCAGTCTCTATATGAGTATCATTGAAACTTTGTTTCTTTTCTAATAAACATTTATTTTCCTGTCTCTGTAACTAGGGATGGTAAAGGATGAAAAAGTCTTTCCAGCCAAGGATAATCGATGGGTGTCCCTGGCCAGCATGCCTATGATACCAAACAATAGGCAACTGGAACGCACTTTTAAAGCATATTCCCTGTGTTTGCTCAATCTACCTGCAGCTGAGAGGAATCCAACAAACACCAAGACCAAAAGAAAGCAAGGTAAAAACTATGTCCATCTTTGCAGCCTAGATCTGTGAAACTTTCCTGGTAGGTCTACGGGAGCAGAAATAGTGCAGAGATGTGTGGGAATGTTCAATGAGCAGTGATGGGTGGGAGTGAGCCAGTAGATGCTGTGGAGTATATCATGTAGCACAGTATTGTTGTGCTTTACACAAAGGACTTTAGAAATTAGCGAGCGTTCAAAAGTGCTTAGCATTGAATATATGAAGTTTGTGAAATTTTGCTAAATGATGATGCCTAAAGTATTGTCTGTAAAGTCCTTCCCCACCCTTCCATTCTCCTGCCCTGATATTGTTTCTTTACAGTGTTGGCTTTTACCTTTTTCTTTTTGGTATCTGTGGATGTGAATACAAAACCTTTAAAAGTTTTAGTCTGAGTCACTTTAAATGCAGGGAAAATGTGTTAATAAAATGAGTTTCGTAGTCTTGGGCAGTAAAAGAAGTCCAGGCAAAAGTGTTCTCTATAAAGATAAGAATTTTGTGAGCTGGGATAACACTTTTTATTGAACATTGAGTTTTCTGGGCCAGTGTGTTGACCTGAGACTGATTCAGTGCTTGCTAGGCCTTTTATTTGCTATATAACCATGTTATTGTTCTTAATTTCCTGTTTCTCTGACTCCTCAATACTACAAGAAGTTTGATCTTTATTTTCTGCTGGGCATGAAGCAGAGTCAAGGTCCAGCAGAGGTGGTACTTAAATAGTGCTCCTTGGGTATGCTGAATGGTTGAGACTTATATATGACTGATTAAAGACTACAGTAGTACAGACTGTGCCTATGAGTAACAATAGATACATTCAGCAACACATTGTAATACTTAACATTAGGCAGGAATATACAACTCCAAATCTTATCTCTCATATAGCTCTGGCACTGTCTGTTCTCAAGTATTTATTAACTGGTCATCTTTGGCACACACCAACAGAAGAAGAATTAATGTTGTGAAACATCTCAGTTCTTTCCTTTTCAGGATGCTGGTGCATTGTCATGGTTTGCTGTGGCTGAGATTATTAGATTTAGATTACATAGTTACTCTCCCTTGACTATACGTGTGGTGGCTCAGTAAGCTAACATGATTGAATTAGAGTTTGCAACTTTGTGGACACTCAATTTGTTTCTGTTGCTCTTCCTTATCTCTGCTGTTGTTCTTGGTGCAGAAAAACATGGGTTGCCAGTATTTCATCAGAAAAAGGTGACTTTCCTGTAAGCCAGTTGCTTGTTCGAGTTTATCAAATTGTACATTGATCAAACTGTCATTGTCACGGCTCCCCGGGATATTGCACTGAAAATCAGGCCCCACAATTCCCAGAGTCATCACAAATGTAAAATTTGATTAAACCAAATTGCCCAATTTTACCTGTCTAACTCAGGTTATAAAAATATGCATACTAGATTTCTAATGCTAATAAAATAATGTTTATTCCAATGGAACAGTTTTAACCAACGGCAAGAAAGAAAATTGAATTATTAACTTATAACTCGAGAGGTTAAACATTACGCTTTTTTAAAAAATTCCCACACATACAAACAGACAAAGACACTAATATCCAGGTGGGGCAGGAACAAAAATGTCAGTGAAGCCCGCTTCCGGCACTGGTCCAGATTACAAGTGGTGATAAGATGCTTTCATTCCGTTAATTCCAATTCCTACTGACTCTTTGATGAGGACAGAAGGCAATGGACACCAGTTCTCAATCTTTCATTCACTGGTTGAAGATTCAGCCTTCCCATGTCTCTGAATGTGTTTTGCCCTTTTTCCTTTCACGAAAGAAATTTGCAGACCATAAGGCCATTACATATAGGAGCAGAACTAGGCCATTCACCCCATTTAGTCTGCTCTGTCATTCACTTGTGGCTGATATGTTTCTCAACCCCATTCTCCTGCATTCTCCCCATAACCTTTGATCTCCTTATCAATCAAGAACCTGTCTATCTCTGCCTTAAACACAGTCGATGATCTAGCTTCTACAGTCCTCTGCTGCAATGAGTTTCACTGATTCACCACCCTCTAGCCAAAGAAATCCCTCCTCGTTTCACTTCTAAGGGTCCCTTCGCTCTGAGGCTGTGCGCTGAGGTCCTAGTCTCCCCTACTAGTGGAAACATCTTCTCCACATCCACTCTATCCAGGCTTCTCGGTATTCTATAAGTTTCAATTAAATTCCTCCACAACCTTCTAAACTTTAGCAAATACAGACTCAGAATCCTCAACTGCTCCTTATATGACAAGCTGTTCATCCCTGGGATCTATCTTGTGCACCTCTTCTGGACCCCCTCCAAGGCCAGCACTTCCTTCCCAAAACTGTTCACAATATTTCAAATTCGGTCTTACAGGAATCTTATACAGCCTCAGTAGTACATCCCTGCTGTTGTATTCTAGCCCTCTCGAAATGAATGCTAACATTGTATTTGCCTTCCTAACTTTTTTTTCCCTTTATTCATTCATGGGACGAGGGCATCGCTGACTAGGCAGCATTTATTGCCCATCCCTAATTGCCCAGAGGGCAGTTAAGAGTCAACCACATTTGTGGGTCTGGAGTCACATGTAGGCCAGACCAGGTAAGGATGCCGTTTCCTTCCCTAAAGGACATTAGTGAACCAGGTGGGTTTTTCCGACAATCAACAATCATCATTAGATTGTTAATTCCAGATATTTTATTGAATTCACATTCCACCATCTGCCGTGGCGGGATTTGAACCCTGGTCCCCAGAACATTATCTGGGTCTCTGGATTAAAAGTCCAGTGATAAGACCACTAGGCCATTGACTCCCCAACTGCCTGAACCTGCATGTTAACCTTAAGAAAATCCTGAACCAGGACTTCTCAGTTCCTCTGTGCTTCAGATTTCCAAAGCCTTTCCACATTTGCCTCCATTCTTCCTACTAAAGTGCATAACCTCACAATTTCCCACATTGTATTCTTTCTGCCTCTTCTTTGCCCACAATCCTAGTCTGTCCAAGTCCTTCTGCAGCCTCCCCACTTCCTCAACACTACCTGACCCTCCACCTATCTTTGTGTCATCTGCAAATTTAGCAACAATGTCCTCAGTTCATTCATCCAGATTGTTAATGTATAACATGAATAGTTGTGGTCCCAACACCGACCCCTGTGAAACTCCACTAGTCACTGGCTGCCATCCTGAAAAAGAGCCCCTTTACCCCACTCTCTGCCTTCTGCCTGGTAGCCAATCCTCTGACCATGCCAGTACATTGCCCCTAACACCATGGGCTCTGATCTTATTTCGCAGCCTCCTGTGTGGCACCTTGTCAAAGGCCTTCTCAAAATCCAAATCGATCACGTCCACTGGCTCTCCTTTATCTAACCTGCTCATTATCTCCTCAAAGAGCTCTAACAGGTTTGTCAGGCATTACCTCCCCTTGATGAAGCCGTACTGACTCAGCCCTATTTTACCATGCATTTCCAAGTACTCACCAATCTCATCCTTAATAATGAATTCTAAAATCTAAACAACAATAGAGGTCAGGCTAACCCGCCTATAGTTTTCTGTCTTCTGCCTCCCTCCCATGTTAAACAGCAGTATTTCATTAGAGATAGTAGGAACTGCAGATGCTGGAGAATCCGAGACAACAAGGTGCAGGGCTGGATGAACACAGCAGGCCAAGCAGCATCATAGGAGCAGAGAGGCTGACGTTTCGGGCCTAGACCCTTCATCAGAAAAGGGGGAGGGGAAGGGGGTTCTGAAATAAATAGGGAGAGAGTGGGAGGCGGATAGATGATGGATAGAGGAGAGGATAGGTGGAGAGGAAACAAACAGGTCGAAGAGGCGGGGATGGAGCCAGTAAAGGTGAGTGTAGGTGGGGGGTTAGGGAGGGGATAGGTCAGTCCAGGGAGGACGGACAGGTCAAGGGGGCGGGATGAGGTTAGTCGGTAGGAATATTACATTAGCTATTTTTCGGTCCTCTAGCACCCTCTCTGTCTCCAGTGATTCCTGAAAGATCACCACCAATGCTTCCACACTGTCCTCACCTATCTCCTTCAGAACTCTGGGGTGTAGTCCATCTGGTCCAGATGATTTATCCACCTTCAGACCCTTTCAGCTTCCCCAGTACCTTCCCCCCAGTGATGGCCACTTCACTCACCTCTGCCCCTTTACTGTCTCGAAGTTCTGGAATGCTGCTTGTGTCTTCCACTGTGAAAACTGCTGCCAAGTTCCAATTCAGTTCCTCTGCCATTTCTTTGTTCCACATTGCTATTTCTCCAGCCTCATTTCCAGCGATCCAATGTCTGCTCTTGCTCTCTCTCTTGCCTTTCTATATATTTAGAAACATTCTTGCAATCTTCTTTCTTTTTACTCGCTAGCTTGCTCTTGTTTCATCTTCTCCCCACCCCAAAGCTTTCTTTTTGTTATCCTCAGTTAGTGTTTAAAGGTTTCCCAATTATGTGGCATCCCACTAAACTTCACCACATTGTGTGTTCTTTTTCATTTGTTTTATGCTGCTCCTGACTTTCCTTGTCAGCCACGTTTACCTTATCCTCACCTTAGTATGTTTCTCCCTCCTTGAGATGAATTTTTGCTGTGCCTTCCAAATCACTCCCAGAAACTCCTGCCATTGCTGCCCCACCATTTTCCCTGCTAGGCTGCTCTTCCATTCAACTCTGGCCAGCTCCTCCCTCATGTCTTTGTAGTTACCTTTACTCAATTGTAATAACGCTGTATCTGATTCCAGCTTCTCCCTCTCAAACTGCAGGGTGAATTCCATCATATTATGGTCACTGCTCCCTAGGAGTTCCTTCACCTTAAGCTCCCTAATCAAGTCTACCTCATTACACATCACTAAATCCAGAATTGTCTGTTCCCAATTGGGATCTGCCACAAGCTGCTCACCAAAAATAGTCTCATAGACATTCCACAAATTCCTTTTCTTGGGATCTGCCAACAGCCTAATTTTCCCTACCTGCATTTTAAAGTCCCCCTTGATTATTACAATAGTGCCTTTCTTACATGTCTTTTCTACCTCCTGATTTATTTTCTTCCTCACATCCTGACTACTGCTAGGGAGCCTGTACACAACTGCAATCAGGGTCTTTATTTCTTTGCAGTTCCTCAGCCCTACCCACACAGATTCTAAGTCTCCAACTTTATATCACTTCTTGCTATTAATTTAATGCATTTCTTACTAACAAGGCAACCCCGCCCCCCCTGCCCATCTGCCTGGCCTCTCGATAGGATGTGTATCCTTGGATACTTGGTTCCCAGCCCCGATCCCCTTGCAGCCACGTCTCTGTGATACCCACAACATCACACCTGCAAATTCAACCTGTGCCAAAAGCTCATTTACCTTGTTTCAGAAACTGCATGCATTTAGGTACAGCATCCTCAGCCCTGCATTGACTGCTCACCTTCTCATCATTGTCCCCTTATCTGCTGTGCCCTGAGGTTAGATTCCTGACGCTTACCATACTAAACTTTAATAACCTGTGCTGAGCCCTCTGCCTGCTCCTTTAACTAGTTGAAAGTCCTTGTGACCCCCACTGTATTTAGCCTTTCCATCGGGATCCTGGCCCCAGATCAGTGCAGGTGGAGGCTGTCCCCACAGTACACTTCCCTCCTCACCCAATGCTAATATCAGTGCTGAAATGGAATCTGTGTTTCCCACACCACTCCTGTAGCCTTCTTTTTATTCATTAATCTTTTTATCTTTTCACCAATTTGTAGGTGGCTCAGGTAATCCCCACATGTAGTGTACTGATAAAGGGGGAAAAGGTAAAGAATGAGTTTATAGAAGGTTTACATGCTAAGACTTGGCACAATTATTTTGGATCTATAGGTTTTATTTTGGGGAAGCACGAATGTATCAAATTTCCCCAATGAGTAAAATGTTGCCTGATGTATCACAAAAGTCAGGATACAGGATACAATGTGTCAGGCCTCCTGTTTGCTGAACTGACTGATCACTGTTATAGGGTCATTCAGTGCAGAAAATGCCCTTCGGCCCATCAAGTCTGTACTGACATAACAACCACGAAAGGCGTGCTAATCCCTTTTGCCTGCACTTGTCCCACATCCTTGAATGTTATGATATTTCAAGTGCTCACCAAACTTCCAGGCAGTGCATTCCTGATTCCCGTCACCTGCTGAGTGAAAAAGTTTTTTTCCCAAATTCCCTCTGAATCTCCTGCCCCTTATCCTAAAACTATCCCCCCTTGTAATTAACCCCTCAACTAAGGGGAACAGCTGCTCTCCATTCAGCCTGTCCATACCCCTCATAATCTTATACACCTCAATCATGTCCCCTCAGTCTTCTCTGCACTACAGAAAACAATCCAAGGGTATCTACTCTCTCCTTACATCTCAATGTCTCCATCCCAGGCAACATCTGGTGAACCCCCTCTGTACCCCCTCGAGTGCTATCACACCCTTCCTGTAGTGAGGTGACCAGAACATACACCATACTCCAGCTGTGGCCTGACCAATGCTCTGTATAACTCCAGCATTACCTCCTTGCTCTTACACTCAGTGCCATGATTGATGAAAGCAAGTGTCCCATTTGCCTTCTTAACTATCCTATTCACGTGTTCTGCTGACTTCAGTTATCTGTGAATAATTACCCCAAGATCCCTTTGTTCCTCTGAGCTACCCAGTGTCCTGCCATTCATTAAATACACCCTCATAATGTTTCTTCTTCCAAAGTGCATCACCTCACACTTATCAGGGTTAAATACCATCTGCCACTGGTCTGCTCATCTGACCAACTTGACTATATCTTCCTGTAACTTCCAACCATCTTCTTCACTGTGAACCACTCTGCCGATCATGATGTCGTTTGCAAAGCTGCTTAACATTCCCCCATATTTTCATCTCTATCATTTATGTAAATAACAAACAATAAGGGTCCTAGTACTGATCCTTGATGAAGCCATGGTCACTCGAGCAGCCTCCTACCCCTACCCTTTGTGTCCTGTTACTAAACCAGTTTCTGGTTCATCTCACCAGGTTTCCTCTAATTCGATGTGCTTTAACCTTCTTAATCTATCTCCCATGTGGGACATTGTCTAAAGCTTTGCTAACATCCATATAAGCTACATCAACTGAACATCTCTCACCCAAAGACTTGATCACATTTTTGAAAAATTCTAACAGATTTGTTAGGCATGACCTCCCTCTGAGAAAGCCATGCTGACTCTCCCTAATTAACCCATGTCTTTCCAAGTGGATATTAAGTCTCTCCTTCAGAATTTTCTCCAATAGATTCCCTCCCACTGACATGAGACTCACCAGTCTGTAATTTCCTGGTTCATCTTGACCATTTCTTAAAAGTGGAAGGCCATTAGCCATCCTCCAGTCCCCTGGCACATTCCCCATGGCCGGAGAATAATTAAAAATTTGTGTCAGAGCCCCTGAAATTCCCTGCCTCGCCTCCCACAGCAATTCATCCAGGCCGGGGAATTTGTCTGTTTTTAAACCTGACAGAGCATCCAATACGTCCCCATTTCCTATGTCAAACTGGGCAAGTTCCTCACAGTCCCTTTTCCTGAAATTCTGTACCTATTTTCTCCTTTTCCAGAGTGGAGACTGAAGAGAAATATTCATTTAACACCTTGCAATATCCTGCAGCTTCACACACAGGTTGTCCCCTTGATCCCTAATGGGCCTTACTCTTTCCCTGGTTAACCTCTTCCATTTAATGTATTTGTAAAATATCTTAGGATTCTCCCTAATCCTATTCACAAGTCCTTTCACATGCCCCCCACTTCTGCTTCTAATTGCTTTCTTAGTTTCCTTCTTGCACTTTGGATATTCTTCTAGGGCTGCAGCTAAAGTGTTCCCTTTGGACTTGCTAAAAGCCCTACAGTTCTTCCTTATCCAGCCCTGAATTATCCTATATTTCCCCCTAAAGGATTCATGTTGCACCTGTAGTCTCCCCAGCTCCTTTTTGAATGCCCCCCTGTGCTCTGCTATAGACTTACCTGCAAAGAACTGTTCCCAATCTACTGTGGCCAGATCCTGTTTTATTTTAATAAAACTTGCCTTCCCCCAATCCAAAGCTAACTTTTGCAGGCTATCTTTTTCCTTGTCCAGAACAGATTTGAACCGTACCGTGTTGTGGTCGCTATCGCGTAAATGTTCCCCCACTGCCACATCAAACATTTTTCCATCTTCTTTCCCAGAACCAGATCTAGCACTTCACCGTCCCTTGTTGGACCTTCTATGTATTGATACAAAAAACTTGCCTGGATACATTCAGGAAATCTGCTCGCTCTAAACACTTAACACTATGACTATCCCATTTATGTTGGGGAAGTTGAAATCCCCGAGTATAATTACCCGCTTATTACTCTTACACACCTCTATGAACTAGCTACATATTTGCTCTTCTATTTCCTGCTGACTGTTTGGAGGCTTATGATACACTCCTAGTAAAGTAGCTGCCCCCTTAACATTCCTGAGCTCTACCCACAAAGCCTCGTTTTAACTAACATTGGGCTCCTCTCAACACCACTAGACTAGAAATGAAAATTAAACCTGCCAGGGTTTCTGCTCCCACTTTCTATCCTTTTTTATTTTCTGGATATTGTGGAAAACTGCTTGGATTCTCCAACTCATGGAGCAGTACCTTGTTTGCAGTCTTTCATGACCCACCTGAAGGAAGGGTATCGGAGGGCCTGTTAACTCAAAAGTCAGCACCATTAGGAGAAAACTGAAAGAACCTTTATACATTATAATGGTATTTGGGGCTACATTATGTAAAATGTAATCATTTCTTTCATTAGAGTTTCGATTTAATGAGGAAGATCGCAACTTATTTTTTGAGATCTGTGGAGTGAAGCCACTCTCCAGCTGCATCAATGTGGAAGCCCAGACTGAGAATTATGTACCCTGTCCAAAAGTCCAAAACTTTGTCCGTTTGCTGGCTCCCTTCATTCAGAGATGGTTCTTTCATCATGATGATTTCAGTCATGTTTATGAAGAACTACAAGGTAGTAACATTGCTACAAGGCTTAAGTCGATGACATTCATACAGGTAAATGTTCTGTTTATTAAAATTTTATACATGTAGTGAAACCTATAAAGCTTATAATGCAGCGTAGAAGTTCCTTTTTTTATAAATTCACTAACAATAGACAGAAATGTCACCCTTTTGCACAGCTAGTGACCTGTCTTTGAAGGGTGATGCTAATCAATACCCCAGGAGAATTCCCTCTCGCAACAGTGCCAGGGAGTCTTGTGCATCCACCTCAACAGACAGGTGGAGTTTACATTTTCTTCAAAAGGTGACACCTGCAACACTTCCTCAAACTACCAACCTACATTATGTAATTAAGTCTTGAAGTAAGACTCAAACTCACAACTACTGACTGAAGTGGAAGTGTTAGCAATGACCCAAGCTGGCCCCAGTGCACCCCCTGGTGTTAGTACTTTTCCTTCTATCCTCACTGGCAGGAATTTTTCCCAGAGCATTTCTTGTGTAGTAAATCTAGCCGTTTCCATATGCGCCATGGTTTAGCGCTGAAACAAACACAGAAAATACTGGAGAAACTCAGTAGGTCTGGCAGCATTTGTGGAGAACGAAACAGAGCTAACATTTCAAGTCTGGCAGTTCTGAAGAACAGTCATACTGGACTCAGATCATTAACTCTGTTTCTCTGTCCCCGGATGCAACCAGACCTGCTCAGTTTCTCCAGCATTCTCTGTGCTTGTTTCAGATTTCCAGCATTCACTGTATTTTGCATTTATTTGATGGTTTAGCTGAATGCCTGCTAGCTTACATTGCAGTTTACATTGCTGCCTATATTTTTAAAAAATGGAAAATACAGAATTTCAAGTGATTATCCATGACAGTCAGATTTCTGTAGTTGTAGAAAGTAAATTTCCACAACTATGAACATTTTAAATCATTCACGCTTCTGAAGTTAGATTTTAATATCAGAATCCATTTACAAACACCTTTCTGGATAGATCTGGTTTTCCTTTGAGAAGTTGGTGTTTTGGACAAATTTCATTTGTTTTCCCACTGGATACAAACAGACTACTTGAACACAACAAAGGACACAAATTTGATCATTTCTTAATGAAGTCCATCTGACTCAAGTTGTTATATTAGCCTGGAGGTTGCTGCCTGGTGAGAATTCTATCTCTGTCACTGGGCAGTGATACTACAACTGATCATGTGTTCCTTACAGGCAAATCTGCTCCGTGGAGCTGCACAGAAGTCAATAGCCTGTCCAAGTGGACAGTCATATTAAAGGATTTTAATAGACACTCAAACAGGAAACAAAAATTTGCAGTTGAACAGAGACTATTTAACTTTTAGACTTTTTTCACCCAGAGGGAGTAGAAACCGGGGACATCACTTGGGTGAAGGTCCACGTTAAAATCAACTGAACTGCTTTCCTTTAAAAAAGAATTTTGAAAATTAGTACCCAAACACTAATCATTTAACAACTCAATTATAAAGTAATTTCTTCAGGAGCAATTACGCTTTTCATCAAATTTTACTAATCACATTGCTGTTAAAAATAAAGATATATATATTTGAACAAGATGCAACTTTTCTGTGCATTTCTAATGGTGATGTAGAAGTGGGAAAGTTGAAATTCTCACTGATTTCAATAATTAACATCAGCAGGTGTTGGTGGATGGAGCAGTATTCACTCCGCAGCCTGTGTCAGAATCCTGAACAATAGACCGCAGTTTCAGGTTTTTACAGTAAACTACATGTGCCCCTTAGCCTGAGGTTGCAATCAGTTTCAAAGGGAAATTACAGAGAGTACCACCATGTGGGGAGGCGATGGCTTAGTGGTATTATCGCTGGGCTGTTAATCCAGAAACTCAGATAATGTTCTGGGGACCTGGGTTCGAATTCTGCTACAGCAGATGGTGGAGTTTGAATTCAATAAAAATATCTGGAATTAAGAGTCGAATGATGAGCATGAATCCATTGTCGATTGTCAGGAAAACCCATCTGGTTCACTGATGTCCTTTAAGGAAGGCCCTTACCTGGTCTGGCCTACATGCAACTCCAGACCCACAATGGTTAACTTGTAACCACCCTCTGGGCAATTAGGGATGGTGTAGCCAGTGACACCCTCATCCCATGAATGAATAAAGGAAAAAAAAGAGTAACAGTTTTGCTGTGAAACCTCCCCAGCTGTATGTAACCCATCATATTAATATGATAGAAGTTCTGTCCTCCTTACACCTTTAACAGCACAAACTAGCATTTATGTAGCGTCTTTTAACGTAGTCAAAAAGTTTGAAGTTACTTAAAATTATGTTGTGTTTGAGCAGTCGTGAGATGGAGCTGTACATTGCATTAAATTGATTCTGTCCTTCATGATTTACAGAAAAGTATGATATTTTAAACAGGAGAAATTGCTGTTGTGAAATATGGATCAAGGTGCATTGCTGTACAGTGCAGTGGAGCTTTACGATCCACCTGAATTATTCTATACGTGGCTCACTTTAGATGACAAAGCTTTGCTGTTAGGTTTCGCAGTGGGCCAAGAATTGTTTGTCTTTGGCTACATTTCTCCTTTTACAGCCCCACCACCACCATCCAATCTGCCCTGAGAAAAAGTCAGTGCCTAAGTTGGAAGATGTTTTGGCAGCACATGATGAAAAACTGCACTAGATGGCAGCAAATGATAATTCATTTGAATCCCTCACTGTTGAGCAGAGAAACCAGGATAGAGAAATTATTACCTTTTAAAAGCCACACAGTAGAAGTTTTTATTTGTCTTTCATTGAGAAGAATTTGAGGTGTGTAGTTGAAGAGTGAGCTTTAAAGGTGTTTGTGCTAGGCTGTATCACCTGTAAGAGTGCAGTGCATGTGGAAGTGACTGAGGGGAGGGTAGACACTTACATAACAAATTTACTTTCATACGGTTACAAACAAGGTTAGAGAGATTTGTTAAGTTTTGCGCATGGAACGGGGAGATGGTGATCTGATTCAACATGTGTGGATTAGTCATGCAGAGGCTCAGGCTCATGATCTGGAGAAGGGGTTCGAATCCCACCACAGCAACTGGTGGAATTCAAATTTGAATTCAGATACTGAATTTGTAGTTAAACACTAGTCTCTGTAATACTGAACAACAATTCTGATAATCCATCTGGTTCACTCTTGCTCATGACGGTAGAAAATCTGCTATCCTTACCTGTCTGGTCTACATGTGACTTCAGACCCAGGGTAATGATTGACTCTTCACTGCTGAACAACAAGGGACAACCAGCAATTGCTGGCCTTGCCTGCAGTGCCGAAGAAAGAATTTGATTTATTTATATAATTAGAATTCTTCTCCTGATACATTTTTTAAATTCACTGACAGGATGTCGATATCACTGGCTGGCCCAGTATTTATTTCCCAATCCTAATTGCCCAGAGTGTAGTTCAGTATCAGTCACATTGCTCTGGGTCTGGAGTCATGTGTAAGGACAGCAATTTCCTTCCCTAAGGGACATTAGTGAACCAGATGGGTTTTTCCTGACAATTGACAATGGTTTCATGGTCATCATTAGACTCTTAATTCCAATTTTTACTGAATTCAAATTACACGATCTATCACGTCAGGATTCAAACTCAGGTCCCCAGAACATTACTCAGGTCTCTGGATTAATAATCTATCAGTGATACCACTAGGCCATCACCTACCCATGTATTAGAGAGGGAGGGGGAGGGAAGAGGGGGAGGGGGAGAGCTATCATTTAGGATACTGAGCTTGATGATCAGCTATGATCATTCTGGGGGAGGCAATGGCCTAGTGGTATTATCACTGGACTGTTAATCCAGAGACCCAGATAAGGTCCGGTGGACCTGGGTTTGAATCCCGCCACGCCAGATGGTGGAACTTGAATTCGATAACAATCTGGAATTAAGAATCTAATGAGGACAATGAATCCATTGTCGATTGTTGGAAAAACCCATCTGGTTCACTATTGCCCTTTAGGGAAGGAAACTGCCATCCTTACCTGGTCTGGCCTATATCTGACTCCAGACCCACAGCAATGTGGTTGACTCTTCACTGTCCTCTGGGCAATTAGAGATGGGCACTAAATGCTGCCTGGCCAGCAACGCCCTTATCCCGTGAATGAATAAAAACAATTGAATGGTGGAGCGGGCTCAAGGGGCTGAATGGCCTGCTCCTGGTCCTGTCTTCTTTGTTTCTATCATTTGAGCAATGGTGACTGGACTAGATCTTAGTGGTTCAGAGATTGTGTACAACTCCAGGAATATATTCGGGCAGCCCCAGATTCAGAAAGCAGTTGTGGAATTGTGACTGAGCTACATTGTAGGATTTTCTTCGTGTAAAGTTTGGCAAAATTAAAAAATGTGTCTACAGGGAGCAGAGAGGAAGTTGTTTTTTAACATCTGCCTATGGTATACCCTCAACACTGACATCTGAGTGTACAAAGTGGAGAGTTGTCCCATTCTTTCATACTTCACTTTGGGCTTGGTGATTTGGAGGCATTGTCAGAAAGAGGGCTTGTTAACGAGAATATCCCATGGATGTAGAAACTTGCTACTCCAGTCGCTCAAACTCATAATGTAGTTGGGGTTAGGGGCATGAGGAGGGCAGGGCAGATTCAGGTGAGGGAGGCAGGGACAGTTGAGAATCGAGACTGTTTGATTTTCCTTAATGTTTTTCTGCTTCCTCAGGTTGGTAAACTGTATCTCCATTATAAATTAACTTTGCCGGATGATTCCGTTGTTTATGAGAACGAGGATATAGTTTGTTATTTAAAGGATGGTAAGGATCTCTACATCCAGAAGGATCACATCACTTCATGCACAGATATCTGCAGGTAAACAGCATTCTCCTTTTAACTACAAACAAGTTTTTTAGATTGTGTTGTGATTGTATGACATTTGCGCTCTGGGTTCAAGGGATGTCACTTTAACTTGAAACAACTCGAACCAATTCTTTATTAAAAGTGAAAGGAATGTAAAACTTGCTTTTCCATCATGCCAGAATACTTCAGTGTTTCACAGGCTTTAGGATTTTTTTTTAAATGTGGTCATTACTGTAATGTGTGAATTCCAGTAAACAATTCACACAAAGCAAGCTCCCACAGATTTGAAAATGACCAGATTTCTTTTTTGATGAAGCTGATTGAGGGATAAATATTGGCCAGGACACCAGGGAAAACTCACCTCCTTTTGAAATAATGGCCATGGGATCTTTACTTTCACTTAAGGGGCCATGCGGAACCTTGGTTAATGTTCCCTCTGAAAGACAGTGTGGCAGTCCCATGCCATTGTACTGAAATATCAGGATACCCTTTAATGGAGAGTCTCATTCAACAGCTTTCCAGTTAGAAGGAAGGTGATGTAGCAGATGATCATGAACTCGTATCACAGTTTATCTCTAATTTTTCAAATGTACAACTTTGTTAGTTTCTCTCCACATCATTTTTTGTTCGTTTGTCTTTCCAGGGAGTTTGTAAAGATCTATAGTGGTGGAAGGGTAGAAGTTGAAAAGGAACTTGAACGCTTCATTCAGCGTCTCATCTCCTACTTCAAGGTATTTATTTCTGTGTCTAGAATGTCTAGAACAACTCTTAAGATTTTGAGAAAAACTGAACTGATACAACACTTGCATGTTCTTCCTAATATTTTGAAAGCTGTATTACCCAGGTTGCTATGTTGGAATCAGGTCTTCTAATAGCTAGGCAATTTGTTTAGCCTTGGTAGTTTTCAATTGGACTTCCAGAACCACAAGCTAAAGATCTTCTGGCAGAAGCTTCTCTGTGCATTGACTGCAAAATGGAATTTAGCTAATTATTTTGAACGACCTTTTGGGAATTATTCTCAAATTGAAAGAATTGAAGTAGATAGAGGAGAGAGATTGTGTAAATGATCCTTGACTGAGGGAATTGGGTCCTGTGCCATATTGGGTAGTAGGCCTACCTCTGGGCCAGAAACTCATGGGAGGCTCGTCCATAACATGGCCAGACAGGAGGATTATCAGCCTTGTCATCAGGTGGTAAAAGGGACAGAATTTCCTGGTCAGCCATAGGAAATAGGAACAGAAGTAGGCCATTCAGCCCATCAAGTCTCATCCACCATTCATTGAGATCATGGTGGATCTGATAATCCTCGTGCCCACTTTCCTGCCTGTTCCCCATAATCTTTGATTCTATTTCTGATTAAAAATCTATCTCAGCCTTGAATATACATAATGACCCAGCTTTGATAGGTAAAGAATTCCAGTAGATTCACATCCCTCTGAGAGAACAAATTCCTCCTCATCTCTGTCTTAAATATGTGCCCCCGATTCAGAGATTATAACCTCTGATCCTGGTCTCTCCCATAATGGGAAACAATTTTTCCACATCTATCCCCTAAGAATTATTTAGAATGCAGTAACAATCTACTGCAGTTCTTTGCCTGGAAGCATGGACCAATTCTATGGCACATGGACTGCAGCGGTTCAAGAAGGCAGCTCACCACCACCTTCTCAAGGGCAACTGGGGACGGGCAATAAATGCTGGCTTAGCGATGCCCCTGTCCCATGAGTGAACTTTTTAAAAATGGATGTCCATTGCCCAGCCCTTGGAAGCCAGGGTAGGGGAAAAGATAGACAGTGAGGAAATCACTGAGGTAGGGAAAAGAGGAGTTACTTTTTGTGGCAAGAATGAAATATCGTAGGTGTTAGAAAATACTGAGCAAGTCAGGCAGTGTCTGTAGAGTGCTGAAATGGACAACAGCAATTGTATCAAAATCCCTGGCAGATTCCTTCTTTCATTCAGTTGCTGTTTGAACACTGATATGTGCAGTGCTTTGCTATCCTTTCTAAATCTTTCCCTATTCCCAGGATGAAGCCGCGCTGAAAAAGTTTTTAAAGATGGAGGGTGTTGAAGAATTGCCAGAAGATGAAGAGAAATGGGAGGTTCCCACTGCCTTAGAGATAAGACCAGAGCCACCACGACCTCCAGGTACTGGATGAGAACGGACGTAGAATGTTCTTTTCGGTTTTGTGCATGATAATTTTGGAATCTATTTGGGTATCTATTTTGTAGACTATGGTCCAGTAAGTACCTTCATGTTCTTACATTAAATGTGTAATTTGAATGTGAGCAGTTCTCTTTTGAATGTATTTCTTTTTTTTAAACACCTCTTTAGCAGGTCTCGTGGATATAAAGGTATTGTGAGGGAAGTGAATGAAATCCACATGGACTGAAGGCAGACAAGTGTTGAATAAATGCACCATCAGGAACAGCTGTCTGACAAATGTAGTTGAACCTACTAATGAATCCTGAGGGAATTGAAATTAGCTCATTAACTTTTTTTTCCATCCTGCAACCGTTGCTAGGAGATATGTGACTCCAGTTCCAAGGAAGGATTCTCATCCCTTCTTAGTGGGTGCAGTACTATGCTTCTAACTGCTAACTGCCTTTGGCACCTGAGAACTCAAATTAATCACACAAGTGAACTTGTTTCTCACTTCATCATATCATGTTTCAAGCTACTTGTATTGCAAGATTGTCAGTCAGTGGGGAATAGATGATTCACCTCATCAACCATAGCACTGACTAAACAGTCTGGTGATTGTGGCTCTTTGCTGGCTACCAGGACTTCAGGGAGAATGGTCTTGAACTGTTTCTGTAATGTTTAGAGTTGTATACTGCCAGAAGAGTTTTGGGAATTAGCTGTCAGGCTGCCCAGTTGTATGCAGCAGCAATAAAGGGTGAGATTAACTCAAAAACCTGCAAACTGTACAAATTGAGTGACTACTTTCTCCAATTCTTTTCATACACAAAGCACCGATTCCAATACAATTTAAAGAGGAAAACAGTAAAGAAATCCTGCAGAGCAAAGACAACAAAACAGATGAAGAGAGGACTCTGGCAAGCTGGCCTCCCAAAGCATCCCTTCATAATTACACTGATGGAACATCCAGTAAGAAATACCTCTGTTCACATGGTTGAAGGGAGAAAATGCCCTGTTTCGACACTAACTTGTTTTGTGGAGGGTAATGGGAGTGAATTTCATGCTGTGTAAGAGGTAGATTGAGGTTCAGCCAATTTATTGTCACTTCAGTTCTGAATTTTTAAAATTGAATTTAATGAATGTTACAACTGGAAATGTGATGCTGAAAGGGCAGCAGAGCAACTCAAATGGTAACTCTCAACAGACAATTGGATACAGTCCTTGCAAGGGGACATTCCTGGGCTATGGGGAAGGAGCTGAGAGAGTAAGGTAGCACTTTCAAAAGAGTCAGCACAGGATCAGTCAGTGGGTCAGAACATCTCCTGTGCTATGATTTTAAAAAAGAATTGTTACAAATTGGAAACAAAACAGACAAAGAAAAGCTTGAAATGAAAATAAGTCAGTCAGTATTTGAAGAGAAAGTGGGTTAATGTTTTGAGTGGGTAACTTTTGCCTGACTGATTCCCCAGATCTATAATTCCAGCATTCTCTGTAGCTGCTTATTTCAAAAGCCCAGTGTTCATTATTACTACTTCAGTAGGCACCAATGATATGAGAAAATACAGGGCAGGTCAGAGTTGCATTCGGTGAGTGTTGTGCGAGGATGTTTTAGTTTAAATCCTGCAGGTTGTGATTTTACCCAGACTGGTTTTGAATCTGATCTGATTCCGGGCTGGAATATTGTAAACCAGTAAACAGCAAACCTGAACCAAAAACACACACAGCAGGTAAGTGATGGTAGGTCAATCACCATCTGTAAACAGGAAGGACAGGATGTGGCATTTTATCAGAAATTGCTAGTCTGGACTGACTTTTATCCACTTACAGATGACATCAGTTTTTGGAGAGGAGGTTCCTCCTCTAACCCAGACAAAATGATAAGAGCCCTTTCCTACTTTGAACCATTTAGCTGATTTTGACATGAAAGCAAACAGCAGCACCTTTACACTGTCCAATAGCACAGCCTCACATCACCCCGGGTGAGGTCAGAAACTGAAACATTCTGTCTCTACTCAATACCCAAAGGTCAGCCAAGAGTAAATGCTAGTGGTCACTGACTATGAACTTGTGAAAGCAGCAGTTATAATACATTTATTCCAGACTCTGCTGAGACTTGGGGGTGCAATCTCTCTATTTTCAGTAATGATCTCTAGTGAAGAAATTATATTTCACCTAATGAACACTATAACCTGGATCTTCCTATTGCTTGCTGTGTATTGCAGTCTCTTCAGTATCTCTGTTCCCAATGGAACTGATCTCCAGCTGCACTCAGAGCTAGACTGGGAGCTCAATGAGTAAGGAACTGCAGGTGTATGTCTGTGCTCTTCCACTCACTGTTTCTGAGTCATTTATACATCAGCCCTTTGGACTGCCCCTAGCATAGTGCTAACGTTATAGCTCTCTCTGTCATCTAATCAGTCATCAGATTATATAACAACCTTGTACAGCTTAGTGTGGATGTAAATGTGGTTGTTTTTTTTGTGCAGGGGTGGTGATGGGGGGGCTTGGGGGAGGGGACATTATTAGACTGCTGATGATTGTTTGCTTTCCTCAGGTAAAGCTGCAGAAGCTGTCATGAGAATGTGGCCGCCTCCTGCGCCCCCTTCAGGCTCTACTGATAACGTGGCTGCCAGTAACCACCTACAGCAGCATCATCCTTCCCCACAGCCTGGTGAGTTTTAGCTTAGGAGTACCACAGGAGAGGGCACTGCATCCAACAGCAAATGCCTCCCACCCATCAACGCCCCTGCAGTCCCTCAAAGTACCATGCATCGTGACTCTAAGCGCTGGTTTCTTGGAGCTATACAACCTAATCCAGGAGTTCCTTCCTGCTTTTTATTGTTAAGCCTTTTATTAGTTGGGTCCCTGTTATAGGAAGTTGTCTGTGTTTTGGTCACTCCACCACCCACATCCTCTGCTCGCCAACCTGCATTGTCAGCGTGTCCAGCAATAGCTCAATTTTTAAAATTCCTATCCTTGTTTTCATGGCCTCACCATTCTGTATCTCTGTAACCTTCTCTGGCCCACAGCTCTGAGATGGTTAAGTTTTAATGGCCATTTTTAATCACTCTCACCATTGACTAAAAGTATCTTTTGGGTCTCAAGTTCTGGCATTCCTTCCCCAAATCCCCCCTCTAAAATCCCTCTTTTCCTACTGAGCTTTTGGATTCTTGTCCCAGTATTTTGGATAAGTGTCAAATTTTGTTTCATAAGGGGAAAGTGTGGTTCGTTTATATAGACCATAGTAACAAGAACTAACACACATACGAAACCATAGGCTTGTCTCACAATGTTACTAAACTGCAAAAAAGCATCTACCCCCCCAATACAACATCATTACCTTTTCTACATAGAACATAGAACAGTACAGCACAGTACAGGCCCTTCAGCCCACAATGTTGTGCCGACCTATTATCCTACTAAGATCAATCTACCCTGCATATCCTACATTTTACTATCCTCCATGTGCCTATCCAAGAGTCACTTAAATGTCCCTAAAGTATCTGACCCCACTACCACTGCCGGCAGCGCATTCCACACACCCACCACTCTCTGTGTGAAGAACCTACCTCTGACATCTCCCCTATACCTTCCTCCAATCACCTTAAAATTATGCCCCCTCGTAATAGTCATTTCCGCCCTGGGAAAAAGTCTCTGACTATCCACTCTGTCTATGCTCTCATCATCTTGTAAATCTCTATCAAGTCACCTGTCATCCTTCTTCGCTCCAATGAGAAAAGCCCTAGCTCCCTCAACCTTTCCTCATAAGACCTGCCCTCCAGTCCAGGCAGCATCCTGGTAAACCTCCTCTTTCTCTTGAGGTAATGTCCATGATGTTGCTACAGACCATCCAAAAGTGTTTGAATACACCATATTGTCTGTACTCTTAATCAATCTACTACATGTCTCTTATCATAGGAACAGGAATAAGCCGTCAAGGTGATATTTATACTACAATGAAGTATATTTGATCTCTGAAGTGAATAGCCACTATCAGGTTGATTGTAAATTGTGTACTGGCTATCACACAGCCTTGCTTGACACTGACCTGGATTTTGAAAGTGTCTGTTTCGGATCTCCTGTTCCAGACAGTTGCACTTAGATCATTAAAAAATAGTCGTAGGATTGTGAAAAAGTTTCTTGGATATTGAAATCTCAGGAGAACAATGCTCAGTGCGTTGTGAATGAAATAGTTTGGTCAGGCTGATGAACACAATAAAGGATTTCTAGTGGAGAGACAGTAGTAACTGCTGATGCTGGAGAATCCAATGGTATCAATGTGGACTTCACAAGCTTCAAAATCTCCCCTCCCCCTACCTCATCCCAAAACCAGCCCAGCTCGTCCCCGCCTCCCTAACCTGTCCTTCCTCCCACCTATCCCCTCCTCCCACCTCAAGCCCCACCCCCATCTCCTACCTACTAACCTCATCCTGCCCCCTTGACCTGTCCGTCCTCCCTGGACTGACCTATCTCCTCCCTAACCCCCCACCTACAATCACCTTTACTGGCTCCAACCCTGCCTCCTTGACCTGCCTGTCTCCTCTCCACCTATCTTCTCCTCTATCCATCTTCTATCCGCCTTCCCCTCTCTCCCTATTTATTTCAGAACCCCCTTCCCCTCCCCCATTTCTGAAGAAGGGTCTAGGCCCGAAACGTCAGCTTTCCTGCTCCTCTGATGCTGCTTGGCCTGCTGTGTTCATCCAGCTCTTCACCTTGTTGTCAAAGGATTTCTGGTGTTATCCTCAACATTTTATTTTTGGATTTGTCTGACAACAAAGACCATGTGAGAGGTTCCTCTGGAAGGTCTGAAGCCACACAGTGTCTCTGGCAGGGTTTCCTCAGCCACAAGAAGTAGGTGATTCAGGAGAATGTGTGTTGGGATTTTCCTGCTATGGACAGAAGTGAAATGCCTCAATAGTTTCAACAGCATGATTTATCTCATCTTGAAGATAGTTAGTTATTATTGTCCTGACTTCAGGAATGCAACAATGTCCTTGCTCTCCCAAATGTACAGGATAAGTGGATGGAGTTTTGTTTTGAGCAAATACTAACCAGCTTTAAAGATGACAGCTGCAATACCATCAAGCCTGCAGTTTTGTTGTTTTACATCCATTTGATTGCTTGTTGCAGCTTGTCCAATGATGGAATCTAGCACAGAGACTGGGGGTAAAAGCCCAGAGAGAGTAAGCTGCCACCTGATTCATGGATAAGGAGCTGTTAGAAATGCTCTTTCCTGTGTTATCCTCCTTGAGAAGAAAAACACCATTCTATAAAAGGAATGGGATTTTGTTTATTTGACCTTTTGGAGCGCAGATGGCCCTAGTGGCTTCAAACAACTGAAGAATCGAAGGCAGGGAATTGTATAGACGTTACCACCAGAAGCTGTAAAGAATATAACATTTGTGTCATTTTTAAGTGACAGAAGTAGCTGCCCATTCATGTTTAAGCCTGCACCAGTACTTTCTTATCCAGAGCTTCAGGTGACCACTTTGTCTTTATGAAGCAATCTCGCCTGCACAGCCCCCTCTATTTCTTTCCCATGACCAGCTGTCTCTCACGGATTATGCTGTTGGAATGACTGCTTCCCTGAAAGTGCAACAGCAGGTCGATCATGCACCATTCACACACTTAGTGTATGCAGTGGTGACATCAGCAGCACAGGCACAGGCACATGTGCAGACAGGACAGTGGTGTTGTACATGTGCCAGTGGCCATTCTGTAGTCACACCATTGATTGATTGATTGAAACATATAAAAGCCTGAGGGCTCAGGGCAGATGTGGAGGAGTGTGGTTCCACTTACAGGAAAATCTTGAACAAGGGGGTCACTGTTTAAAAACACTTAGAAGTGAGATCAGGCAAAAAAAAAAAAATTCTATTAAAGGATTGTGAGTCTTTAAGAACTCTGTTCTAGAAAAGGCAGTGGGATCAGTTTTCCTAAATATTTTTCAAGGCAGAGATAATAGATTCTTGTTAAGTAAGAGAGTGAAGGATTATTGGAATCAGGCAGCAAATGGGACTTGAGGTTACTATCAAATTATCCATGATCTTTCTGAATGGCCTACTCCTGTTCCTTATTCTTATGTTACTTATAAAGCTTCACATATCACATTTATCAGCAGGTAACAGATAAATGGATTTGCCTTGTGGTTTCAGCCTTGAGCTGACGGAATGCTGCCTTCACGATGCAAACTTGGGTGGAAGCAGGACAATGAAGGCTGTTCATTTTTTTGTCCTGGAAGGTTGCATATTCCTGCATTGTTTTTGTTGAACCAGCTCTGACCCAATGGGGACAGGGGTCTAGCACCATTTTGAAACGGAGTTGGGAGTATAAAGATTTTCTGGATTGGTTGTGAGCTGCACTTTAAATTCGTCTCTTGGGCTCCTTTAAGCTGAGACATTGATCTTCATCTTCTTGGACTTTTGGATCTTGCGATGTCTTGGTGCGAACTACACGTTTATCAAATAAGTCGATGATCTGTCAGACAGGTGTTAGTACCTGCAGGGATCAAGTGATACAGATCTCACTCACATCATTGACTTGTACAATGACAGAATCCACGTGTCAGTGCTTTGATCTAGGATGTGTTTTCAGTTTGCCCTTCAGTTGAAAGGCACTTAATGTTAGAATGAGGCAATGCTAAGCACACTGGCAGCAGGACACAATTTGCATCGGCTTTTGCCGTCCAGTTATTCCCAATGGGTCCTCTCAATGTCGGAATCCAAGCCAACCAGGGCATTGAAGAGGATGATCTTTTCTTTTGGGATGGCATTAACTTCTACTGGAGTCACAATGGAATGTTTTCTTAGTCTCTTCACCTGAGTCAAGCATCAGATCATAAACACTGATGTTGCATGTTGTTTATGGCTAAGCTGGAGGTGGTGGTATGAGCCTTCCATTTATACAGTTGGGGAGTTTGCCGAGAACCTATTCTGCATGACAAACCCAACTCGGTGGATACAGGAAAGGAGTCTGCCTTGCGTATCCATTAGTAGCGTATCCCCTTTGTTCCTTCAGCTGCATCTCCCCAGGAAGGCACATATCTCCCTGAAGGAAATGTGACAGTTGCAGTCTCCATAATTTGCATGACTGATTTGCAGCTCTTCTTTCTGGAAGTTTCAAAAATTTAATGCTTACTTTCTTTGACGATGAAGGTGGTGATCGCACAGGGTGTGGCTCACCAGCCAGGATAAAGCGGGACAGCTTATTTTTGGGGCAAACGTTTTTGAGCTCAGTCACGCGTCCTGCTGTTGGATCTTCGTGCATCTGTTGTCTCTGAGCAGGACTAGGGCCTCCCAGGTTCACAGTTCACAGCCCTGTCCCTGTTGCCAGCTTTTCATCAAAGAAAGCCTGTGCAAGACTTTTAAGGTGGGGACCTTGGGGCACCATCATTGTCTATACAACCTTCTTAGGTTAGAATCGCTCCAGTGTGGTAACAAGTCCAACCAACCCTCGGCGTATTCCACCCAGACCCATCCCCCTATAACCCACCTAATCTACACATCCCTGAACACTACAGGCAATTTAGCCTGGCCAATCCACCCAACCAGCACATCTTTGGACTGTGGGAGGAAACCGGAGCACCCAGAGGAAACCCATGCAGACACGGGGAGAATGTGCAAACTCCACACAGACAGCTGCCCGAGGGTGGAATTGAACCCGGGTCCCTGATGCTGAGGCAACAGTACTAACCACTGAGCCACCGTGCCACCCCTGAGTTGGTGGTCAGGTTTCTGTTATGTATCAAGCTTCGATGACTGATACTGCAACCGATGAAGTGCACAGTTGTCTTTCAGCTGTTCTCCCAACAAGGATACTTTGGAACGCAGTTTGACCTTCCTGGCATGGGTGGCCCTAGCAGAAGAACAGAGCTCCTAACCGCACCAGTCACAAAATTATTGGAACATGCAAATCTCTCCATTACCATCAATAGAGGGTGTACTCATAGTTATATTGTAGGAAATGGAAGCCAAACTTAATTTCAATTTCAAATTCATGCTTCTGTACAATATATAATTCCTCCAACATAATGAACTGAGATGATGGCGATGGGGAAATTTAATGCATTTATCACTGAATCAAATTATTCCAATATCCAAGATTATTTCTTGAATGCCAACTAATTTTATCTATTTTCATTAAAACAGCTGTTAATATTTTCTTTCCTGGATGTTTCAACACTACATAATGAATAAAAAGCTTATTTCATCTAGGTGACCTACATAGGTCTCTGAGCACAAGCACCAAGGCCAGCGGGGAACCTCCTCACCATCTGGAACGGCAGAAAAGTCACAGCCAACCTGTAGCCACAGGTAAGTAAATAGTTTAATCTCTCCATTCTTCTCTTAAATCTGGTTGTGACCAAAAAAAAAAAATTTCTGATGTCAAAGATGTTTTTATTTCCATCAAGTAAAATGAGGAGAGGAATAACTTGCACTTTTACATAAAATACTATAAATTTTTTTTAAAAAAAAAACCTTTATACTTCACAACCAACAAAGTAACTGGTCATTTAGTATTATAGGAAACAGAGCAAATAACTTGTGCACAGCAAACTCCCAGGAAAAGCAATATCATAAAGTGATTAAACAATCTTGGTTGAGGGATAAATGTTATCAAAAACTCCCTTGTCAGTTTAAATAGAAAACATGATTTCAGGTGCTTGTGTGGAAACACACTTCTGTTTTCTAAGCATATATGCAATGCACAGTTTCCAAATTGGGGCATATTGAAAATCTGCTCCCTTATATTTTCATCATTAAATAAAAACTTAGAACTGAGTATGTTAGTTTGCATGTAGTAACATAGTTCAGAATAAATTATGTTTCTTCTAAAATGACTGATCTACTTGTTATTTGGGTTAAAACTTTCTAAAATAAAACTGAAATATGGAAAGCAGAAGCCAAATTTGAGGCTGAATATTTTTTCCTCAGAAATAAGTTTCTTTCAAGAATATGAATGAAAAAAATTGAAATTCAAAAGCCAGATCAGAGTCTGATTAAAATTCCTGGAGTTAGAACATTGCTGGTGACAGATTAGTGATGGGATGCCCAAAGTCTTCATTTAGGGGAGTACCTGGATTCTGAATAATGGACAGAAAGTGGCAGTGCAGGAGAAAACAAAGAAAATGTCAAGGCTGTTTTCTTTAAGAAAAATATTCAGTCACTCGTTCCAGATTTGTGATTGATAAATTCCTGCTGCACAGAACAGATTATTTTGTTTATCTCTTAATGTGATTTTAAAGGCTTAATCATATCTGTTTGTCCTCAGCAGAACACATTGATCCAGCATCAATTTCAGAGCAGAAGATGGATTCAGATCAGTCCAAGCCTACTACAAACCAGACACAAACACAACCCTCTGTTACTGCAACTGACCATACGAGGTATCATACTGCAAGTTAAAAGTCAGAAAAATCAGAGCTTGCCACAGTTTGAGTGGCATAAACTTTGTTCTAAAAATGCTCACTTCGGAGATTATTTGATGTTGGTTATATTAGGAAGGTCAGAACCGCAAACACGGTTGTAGTATCTCTAAGGCCTCCTCTCAGAAGCTAAATGAGAGTACAATTAATAGAAATCAAGGAACTGCTGTTGTTTATAAACTCTTAGCAGCACAGAAGGAAGTCATATAATTAGTCATACCTCTGCCAGTTCTTTGAAAGAGCTATTCAATTCATTACACTTGCCCCATAACCCTGCAAAATCAGTCCCTTCATGTTGTTGATCCAGTTCTCGTTTGCAAGTTACACTTGAATCTGCATCCACTGCCCTTTCAGGCAGCACGTCCCAGATCACAATAACCCGCTGACTGAAGGGAAAGCAGTAATTGATCTCATGGTCCTTCAAGTTTCCATTACCATTTGATTAAAGTCACACGAGACCAGGTTATAGTCCAACAAGTTTATTTGAAATCACAAGTGTTTGAAGCACTATCCCTTTGTCTGGCTTCTCTCCACATGACAAAGATTTTATAATCAGAGAGGTCATAAAGATGGTGTGAGTGGAGCATCAACAGGCTGAATAATAGGTCTCTGCAGGTGATCACTGCAGCATTGACCACTCATCCAGAGACGGTGACTCCTATTTCTTGTCTTATCAGCCAAGGAAAAATGAGCATCCCAGCATTAATCCTTTCAATCAGGTACCAAAACTTCTCATTATTGCACTGATTCTTTTGTCTATTATGTTAAATATGTATCCTCTGGTTACTGACATTGCTGCAAATGAAAACTTGCTCCATCTTCCCCTCGGGAAAAACTCTTCAGACCAATCCCTTGATTACAGGACACAAGGCCACAAGATCAAATTCCACTAACTGAGCAAAACAAAATTTCAAGCACTGTGAAGGTGCAGAGGCAAGCTGAACCATTGCTATTCTGAGCTGATACACAAGATCAAACTATGATTCTTTCCTGTGGAGAGAGTGATTGAACAAAGAACAAAGAAAATTACAGCACAGGAACAGGCCCTTCGGCCCTCCAAGCCTGCACCGATCCAGATCCTCTATCTAAACCTGTCGCCTATTTTCCAAGGATCTGTATCCCTCTGCTCCCTGACCATTCCTGTATCTGTCTAGATACATCTTAAATGATGCTATCGTGCCCGCCTCTACCACCTCTGCTGGCAACGCATTCCAGGCACCCACCACCCTCTGCGTAAAGACCTTTCCACGCATATCTCCCTTAAACTTTTCCCCTCTCACCTTGAAATCATGATCCCTAGTAATTGAGACCCCCACTCTTGGGGGAAAAAGCTTCTTGCTATCCATCCTGTCTATACCTCTCATGATTTTGTAGATCTCAGTCAGGTCCCCCCCTCAACTTCAGTCTTTCCTAATGTAAATAATCCTAATCTACTCAACCTCTCTTCATAGCTAGCACCCTCCATACCAGGCAACATCCTGATGAACCTCCTCCGCACCTGGTATTTTTAATCAATACATTGAGATTTCGGAGGAAGGCACATGCCTTTCAATATAGTCACTGAAATTGCAGATGAAGCAGTGATAGAGAAGTAAGGTTACTAGGAAAGCTGCTGTGTTACAAATACCTAGTGCAAGCTGCTTTTAAATATTTGCATTTATATAAGCAGTTGAAAGCAATCTGTGCCCATCGTCAGATACATCCAGCCCATTGGAAGGATCACTTCCTCTCCATTTCTCCCTTGCTCACTCATTCTGTGACAGCCTTGCTGTTGCTTTCAAAACCAATACTTTAGCTCACCTTCTCTTCACAACTTTGCAAGGTGGAGGGACCCAGGAAGTGTGCGGAGGTTGTGGGAAGGTGTTGGTTCCATTCTTGACCTGTTTTCATAGATAATAGCATAAAATGCAGTGTTGGTGACAGTGTTCAGCATTCTTGGAGTTGGGAAACAGCCTCTGTGGTTAAATGTCGATTTGAGCTGTGAAGGAGGGCAGGATTTGGCTTGGGTGTAATTCATTCTACAGATGAATAGCATGATGCCACGTGCTATCAAGGCACATAAAGGGAGGGGAACCACTGAAGTACAATATTGTACATCACCCTGGGGGTTATGATAGACCCGGGGTCCTGACTGAACTGGATCAGCCATACAAATACTGTGGCTGCAAGTGGTAAGGAATCCCCCCTAAAGCCTGCTGACCATCTACATACACAAGTCCAGGAGTGTGATGGAATACTTCTCACTTGCCTGGATGAGTGCAGCTCATACAATACTCAAGAAGCTCAACACTATCTAGGAATAAAGTAGCCTTAGTTGGTGCCACATCCACAAACATGCACTCCTGATGCACGACAGAAATACACCAAGGATCCTTAGACAGCACCTTGCAAACCGTCAACCACTGCTGTCTAAAAGGGCAGCACCTACGTGTGTAGGAGAAATGGGAGCAGGAATGAGTCTCATGTTTGACAATTATCACTTTTGTTTCTGTTGAGCAGTCAGCAACCAGTGGTATCTGTGACTAAGACCAATCACTTCAGTGCAGCTGATATAAACACATCCCGTCCAGCCATTCCACTCGACAGCCCAGTATGGACAAAAGAGCTGCCACATGAGGAAGTCCTGGAGGAGCTGCTGATACATGGCATGATGGAAAAACCACAGACAGTCGTGTTCAACGAGGACAAGATAGAGAATCATGCCATTGGAGAATGGGGGGAGCGCCTGGTTCATGCATTCCTCTCACACTGGAAGGAGAGCGATAGCCAGCACAAACCCAGGGACATTATGTGGGCAAATGAGAATGGGGAGAGCGGTCTGCCCTATGATTTCAAGGTCATGTTCACTTCCATGAATGACGAGCAGATGGAGATCTTCATTGAAGTTAAATCCACAATCAAAGCTGAGAAGAACTTTGTACAACTTTCTGCTCAAGAAGTGGACTTGGCACTAAAGGTCAGAGATCGTTACCACTTGTACAGAGTGTACAAGGCAGGGGACTCTCAGAATGTCCAACTGTGTCGAATTAAAAACTTGGCACAGTGTTTGCATGCCAAACAACTTGAATTGTTTCTGTTTGTGTAAATGCTAAACTAGTTTTAGAGGTGATTAGTCAAGTTTATTGCTTTTATGTATTTTTTGTAAATTAGCAATCAACTATTACAAAGCACTGCAGAAGGTGGGAATATTCAGCAGCTCTGGAGAGTGGTAACATTTCAGGTCATGTTCTTCTCAGAATCTGAAGGTTACACACCTAAGTTAAGTTTCTCTCTCCATAGATGGTACCAGAGTTGCTGAATATCTGTCATTTTTCATTTTTATTCAATTGTAACTGATAAAGAAGTGGAGGTTTAAGATTGCAGTGATGGGATATTTTGGGAAGTCCTTTTTATCACTGCTTCTATACATTTTCCAAATGTATCCCCTAAGCAAATAATGTTTAAAATAATATATGTTCACTATAAAACTTTTGTCTACTGCATGATTATTTCCTAAAAATACTTTACCCTTCACCTCTCTGCAATCGAGGGACCAAACGGATTTCAGAAATTATAATAAAAAATCATATCTGTACAAAGATTTAAATAATTCTGTATGGAGGAAAGGCTGACATTTCTTGCCCTGAGAAGATGCTGGTAATTCTCTGCTTGAATACTTCAAGAGACGGATTAGAGTCATCATATAGTTAAAATAGTGGAATCAGAACAGTCCCATAAATGGGTAAGATTTACCAATGACGATTAGACAGCTTTAGGTTCACGTACTGATAAAGCACAAAATGAAAATTCTTAGCAGGCAGCATGTGTAGAGCAAAAGTTAACATTTCAAGGCAGTGACCCTTTAAATTCTAAATGAAAGGTCACAGATCCACAACATTAACTTGGTTTCACTCCAGAGATGCCCCCAAACCAACAAGTATTTCCAGCACCTTGTACTTATTTCATTTTTACTGATACCCAAACTAATTCTCAAACTGCCCACATTCTCAAATTCAATAGATAGCTGCAGGGATAAAGAGGAAAATTTGTGAATATACATCCTGATTTCAACTCAGATTGTGAAAACTGGAGTCCGGAACTAAAGCTTAGTGAGGAGGAGATTCTGGAAGAGTTACAGAAATGATTGGGGATAAAAGGAATCGCTAAAAGCAACAAATAAAAATTAGTGTTTCCTATCTTTAATACAGCTTGGATACAGTTTCTTTACACAGACTGACAAATTATATAATTGGCAAATTAATCTTGCAGAATAAAGCGACATACAGACTTTACGCTGAAGTATCAAAGAGTTTCTCAATCATATCTTCAACCTGTTCCACTCTGTATTTTATGTATTTTTCAGTATTCTTGGTGAAGGGAACATTTGCATACCTGCAGAGTTAATGAATATTGTTAACAAGTTAGCAATGATGAAAAGTTTATCCAAGAAGAACGTACCAAAGCTGTCCCATCTGAATTGACACTGAACTTGACATCTTCATTTCAGAAGCATGAACCCAGTAGCACTCATCTCTCAAACACATTACTCTCATCTTCTATCCAAAGCTATTCCCAAACTGTTCAACCCAGAAAGGCTTTTGTTACAGGCTCCACCTATGGATACAATCCCGTAGAGTTGCACACCTGGAATGCTGGCTCATGCTAACAGGACAATCCAGAAAATGACTTGCATTGATCTATCATTATTCACAACCTCGGTACGCATTCCTCCTGATCTGATTTTCATGTATTTGCTTTAGCCAGTCATGAATGGATTATTTTTACCTCTTTCTTGCATGCAACAAACAATTCTTACTTTTGCCAGAAGTTGCTATAGACCCCAGTTACATTTTCCTTCTGTGCACGTCTGATTTTATCCCTTTGCTCTTTGTCTGGAATGGCCCAGGATTTTTGGATTTTGCACAGTTCTTCCAGCCCATCGTTAAATGCCTTCAAAACAGAAACCAGTTGTCTTTGAAATGAATGAATGCTTTCTCATAGCAAAGCAGCAGTCACAGAAAACTGAGTGCAAGCCTGTCCAGTACTCCAGTGCTGAATCTGGGCAGACCCATTCCTCAGTAGCCTTACAACCATCAAAACACATTCAAAAAATATGCTGTCCTCACTTGCTGCAACCACCCAAAGCAAGTTTCTTTTGTTTTAATTCTGGTCAGTCTTATTCCCAAGATATTTCTGGTTTTAATATTAAATGAGAGAGACAAGTTGCCAGTTGCTATTAGGTATGCGTTTCATAAAACAGTTCAAAACATTACCGAAGTAGGCAGGAGCTGTCACTACTGTGATCCTGCAGTCTGTCTACAAAAGGCCAGAGTAGTCTGCCCAAGTGAACAATAGGTAACACTGTCCTTTCAGTTGCAAACAAATCAAGTCCGGAATAGTAGGTTTAAATTGCAAAGAGACGGTCAGTTACAGCAGAACAAAGTTGAGGAGAAATGGAAAACTATGTTGCTGCAACAACTTTACTTTTTCTGGAGTGTTTACATAAATAAAACGTGAGACACTTCACAAAGGTGGTGAAGTTAGTACATGCCTGTAAGGTGTACAGAGGTGGTGGAGGTAATCACATGCGTTTGGGAAAAGAACGTTACACATTAGAAGAAATTCTTACACATCAATTGTCCCTTACCTTAAATCGGTCTTTAATTGCTTGTCTCTCCTTATCTTTTAACTGTAAAAATAAAATTGAATGAATTACACCAATATCTCACTGTGACCTAATTGATCCAGGATTCAAACTGATTGCCATACAAAGCAGAAAAATCACAAGGTTTAACCCTTTATTTTGCACAGCATTAGTTATCTCAAAAGGTTACAGAGCCAAAGTGGGTAAGCAAGTTCAAATACAGATCAGCCACAATCTAAAAACAGTGGAACAGGCTCAAGAGCTAACTCTTATGCATATGTTTGGATGCAGCAATTGTTAGGATTGCTACAACCTGGCAAAGCCTCCCTGAGCTAAAAGATAAAGGAAATAACCAAAGGTCAGCTGAGGTTCCTACATCTGATTGCTATTCAGTGATCCCAGTCAGTTTGCAGATCATTTGAAGATATGATCAGGTTTACTGGGCAGACTCACCAAGCATCGTGTGCAAGTAACAGCCAAGTTAATGAGATACCAGAGGGTGCTCACCACCTGTGGACGTGCTCCCCAGAACAGTCCGGTGGCAGGGGTGGGGGTAGATAGAGGAAAGGGGTAAGAAAGTTCCTGGAAGGAGACTACAGCAGGTGGTAACAGAAACAGAGCCCAGTAAAGCTGCCCACGGCCACAAAAACAGTGTTTTACACAAATTTAGCAAATATTAAGAACACTTACTTTTGTTCCTGGCTGGATGGCAGGCATGTTACTCTCATTAATGGGCGATGTGACCTTTCCCCAACTGTAAAAATAGGATTACATGTTAAGCTATCCCTGCTATTGTTTGCACCATTCTGCCAGTTTCACTAGGAAAAAAACAGGAACAAATGTCCCTAGCCGCCTCTCCACTCCAAATTTCTGCCATTGCTCCTGCAGGTGCCAACACTTCAGAATGTAATTCTAATGGCACAGAGTCTTCCACCAGAACCCTCATTCAGAATCAACCACAGTGCTGTGGGTTTGAAATCACACAGGGCAGCTTTCCTTCTCTAAAGGATAGCAGTGAATCAAAAAGGTCTTTCTCTCAATTAATTGTTATGTACTGACTACTATTAATCCAGCTATTTAAAATTTTTCACTGGCCAGATTGTTTGTTCAAACTTCTGATATAATAGTCAAATAATTGAATCATGACATGACATTAAGGTGGGGACAGAATCAAGCTTCACTGTTTTGTCTTCAGTCAAGTAGCATGCAGATACATAGGGGAAGAAAAGGACAGGATAAAGGAGGTCTGCTGGTGCCTCTGGAACTGTGATTGTCTTCAGAGAGTTGGAGGGCAGAATAGCAAAAAGTACAAAATAAACCAAGATTACCTGCGCTGGTAAATATGGAGCTGCTCATCAATGTGTCCCTTGTAAGTCTTGTCTGCATTCTTCTGTGTTACTGCTACAAGTTGGATTAATTCAGACCTGAACAAACATACGGAATGTGAGGAAACTAGTTGATATCAACTTTTAACCAGTAACCAACTGCACCAATCTACAATTTGTGTTCATTACTTCAACTGTATCACTCCGGGAACTTAAAGGACACTTTCACAACATAGAAAAGCTATAGAGGGCAACAGTATTGTCTGCACGCATTTGAAGAGAATCAGTCCAATGCATTACAGCCAAGACAATGGCCTGTGATCCAGGAACAAAAACAGAAGTGCTGGAAAAGCTCAGCAGATCTGGCAGCATCAGAGAAGAAAAAAAAAAGTCAGAGTTAATGTTTCGAGTCAGGTAATCTGAACGCCGGTCACAAGACCCAAAACATTAACTCTGATTTTTTTTTTTCTTCACAGAAGCTGCCAGACCTGCTGAGCTTTTCCAGCAACTTCTGTTTTTGTTCCTGATTTACAGCATCCGCAGTTCTTTCAGCCTGTGATCCAGAATGAGGGGGCTCAGGCAGCTGTCTGTGCACGACAGGACCATGGTTCAGGAGCATCTCACAAAATGGCAGGTCTTGGCTGCAGCTTTACACTGTGACAAAGAGGGGAATATTTTAAAAGAAAACATTCTTTTAGGAAGAGAGCAAAAATAGAACAGAATGCTTGTTTTTTTTTTGTTTCACTTCTGCAACTTTTATATTTGTCAGTCTGAGAACACCAGACACAATTATCACAAACTTACTTCTCCAAGGATTTCAGGATGTAATTAAAGTTATTGAGAAGGAAGACTGCACCCAGAGCAGTGTCTTCATAAACCTTAGCCTTGCTGTGCAGGTTCAGCTGCAGGTTGCCAAGTATTTTGCCTAGTAACAAAGAGAGCGAACTATATTAAAATTGGAATTAAAAGATGCAGAAATAAATTTATATTCAAAACAAATTATCTACACAGTCTCAGGAGGTTGGTCTTTATTCTCTACTACTTCCACTGGTACCCTTGTTATCATTCTCAGATAACTCAGTGTCTGTTACCTACATGCAAGGCTCAGTGGGAAGACCTGGCAGGATTATCTAACAGTAGAGGCCAATTCTCACATACCAGCAGGTGGTCAGCACACAAATCATTTCATTTTTAATATTGAGAACTAGAGATTGTTGTACAAGCAAGGACACCAGGAGATTGAGCAATGAGGAGCAAATGGAGTTGAGGTGCAGATCAGCAATGATCTAATAAGAATGCAAGAAACACAACTCAAGGACTAAAATACCTTCTGTTTCTATAATACCTTTTTCAATATGATTTTGCAGAGATCAGCAACATCAATGAAATTCCAAGCCTGGTTAATACAGAGGAGCAGTTTAATCACTGTCTCTCAAGTGGGTCAAACACTTGCCTGAATCAGCCATGAGTTCAAATCTCCTCTAGAAATCTGAACACACAATCTTGACTGACATTTCCA